CTTTTATTGTAATTTGGGGTGCACATAAAGGCACTTCACCGACAAACGAACAGTGGGCGAAAATGTGAGAACGTGCTCATAAAATAAACCACAAATTTTTGTTTGTTTTTTTTTATAAAAAATTATTTAAAATTTACTAAACTAGTATTCTGCTACCAATATGGCAGCTTAATCTACTTTAAAATTAAATGGAATACAAAAATTATTCAATATATATAGCTATAGGACACACTTAAATCTATGTATATAGGTTTTTTTTTAATGTATATACAATTTTTTAAACCAGTATTCTGCTACCAATATGGAAGCTGAAGCTTTAAATATGAAATATTTACAATAGTATTAGATTAAATACGGAATATATTTTATGATATATTATATAGTTAACACAAATAATCTCGTGGAGAGATCCTGTGTGTGATACTTCTTAAGTCTTCTTTTTCACAATTTTTTTTTAAAGACGAGACCCATATGTGTAAACAGTAGATGCAAACGCTCATTAAAAAGTGTTGCATACTTCTCGGCAATTAAGTACTTGAATAATCAATGAACAGGAATCCCACAAAGCTCGTTCCTGAATAGGCACTCGGTTTGGATCACGGCTGTAGCAAAATCGCAAAAGCCTGATTTAAAATAAACTGCTGTTTTTAAATTCTAATTTTAAAATATAAACGTCATACTACTATTGTGTTATGGCCTAAGCTGAGGGCCGATACGCAACATAATAATAAAATTAAAAAATAACAACAATTATAGAAAAACACAATAATTAATAACTATGTTTCTTATGGCAAAAAATCATGTAAGCATGGAATGCATTCATATATGTATTTATCGTTCCATATATCTAAAGCATAATATCTGCAAATAATAACGCTTAAATGAACGGAAGAGTCAGAAGAATCGATTATGCATGGTTTTAATATTGTTATAAGTTAATCTTAATTTGCACATAATATTTATATTTTAATTTATTTTATGAAGACCCTATGGGGTAATTTTAGCTGCCAGACTGACCCTCTATGTAACATACATATATATGTACCTTAAATGTTTTATCAAAGTCGCAGACTAGAATCAAAAACACTATAGTAGAGCCGGTAATTTAATGTGGCATTCAAAATTATACAAAACTAGTATTTCCGAATGTCGTAACTAAAACAAATATGTATAAAAATGTTAAATTAAATTTCTTAACATTTAAGATTTCTTAATAATGTCATCCCATTTTTAAAGCCTTTTTAACAATTTTAGCAGCTTCTGTTTAGAATAAATAGCATTTATAATCATTTGAAATTCCGAAAAAAAAACTTTATTTAATTTAGTTTTAAATATAAGTCAATGTCATGGCATTTTTCTAAACTATTTTTATACAAAGAAATAAAATGCTGTTTCTGAATATCCGAAAGTTGAACAAGTTTTAAATTTGGAATACTCTATTACTTATCCGTTAAGACTTCGACTTCAATCCTGGAATTAGAGAGCACAAGTCCTCGTCGTCTGACCCAAAACAGGCATCCTTTTAATCTTGAGAAATGGTTATGTTAATGCTAAGTTTGCTTTACAAATCAAATATTTTCCACATCATAGTTCGCCTTCAGCTAATTCATGCCTTTAAAACCACAGAGAGATGTAGAAAATTTAAAACAGTGGTAACAAACAATCTTAATAGAATAATTCATCTCCCAATCCACTGTTCAACACTCGCTTTCCTTGCTTACCTGCGTTATCTGTCGCCATAACTAACATAATATGTGTGTGGGGTCTCTCTGTGTGTGTGTGTGTGGTTTTGTGTCTTTGTGTGTAGTCGCTTGTCCTTGTTAAATGATGTGTAGTTGGCCAATTTAGAGCAGGATTTTTTCGCCTTATTTGCTGCAATAAAATATTATTAAAAAATTGAAAGAAAAGAGAGGAGTGATTTATTTTGTGCAAAAGAAAATACATTTAATTGCTTTTATAAGACACGACTCCTTGCCTTTTGCTAACTTTATTGACTCTTGGTGGTTATGGTCTCACGCACTGATGAAAATACATGAATAAATACATATGTATATTGTATATATATGGGCAGATATATCCCGCATCTGCCCAGACGATAGAGAGAATCAGAGACACAGATATTCAGTTAAGCTAAATGCAATGGCAATGGCAGCAGTAAACGAAGCACGTTCGCAAATAAGACAAAATAACTGTACTCTAATGGTTGATTTTAAAATGCATGAATTGTTGTTGTTGTGTGTGTGTGTGTGCATGTGCCATGTATGCGAGTGTGAGAGCGTGTGTGTGCGTTAGCTGTGTTTGTATATTTGTGTTGTGTTTTGTGAACTGTTGAAGTTTATTTTCCGAGATTTTAATATGTATGAGTTGTAGATGAAACATTTATGACATGCATACACACACTGTTACAATGAGTGTATCCGTGTGTGTGAGTGTGTTTGTGTGTGTGTATGAATGGGTGTATTCGAACGTTTATACCGTGCAGCTTGTATAAATATTGTAAGGACTGCACACACACACACACACACGCCTCCTATACCACAGCAAAGGAAATTGAGGTATACATAGTGGTCGGGATTGATGAGAAGAGGAGTGTAGTGAGAGGGGCGGCAGGGTCTGGGTAAGATCAGAGGGCATCATTGTTGTCGTTTATATTTGGGTAAGCAATGCTCAGCAATTTTCACAATCTATGCCAACAAAGCTGGGGAACTGGAAAGTGAGTGACTAATGTAATTTACGTGTACCAAATATTTTACTCGTTTATTCCGAACAGTCAGCATTCCCGTACTCTCTGCCTATCTCCCTCCCTCCCTGCCACCGCGCTGCCTGTCTACTTTCCATATGTTGCTCTAATAATGCGAAACATTTGTATACTAGAGACATTGTAGCCCCATTTTTACAAAGCTCGCATATTATTTTTGTGTCGTTATGTTAGCAAGTTGCCATTTGTTTCCCACTCTGAAAACTCAATTTATGCCTTTGAATGGTTGTTAGGTTGGTCCAAGGCTCCAAGGCGTGGGTGTTCGTACTCGCGTATGTGAAGCACGTCTTCATTCGCCGCCGACTGACAATTTAATAACGAAATGAAGTTTGGCAAGCGTCAATTTATTTTCCTGACTCTTCACGTGAGTTCATCATGAAATATTGACCGAAAACATTTCTGTGGCTGTGCTACCTCAATTTGCAGCTGGCAGCGGCAGTAGCTTTCCATCTTAATGTTATTAGTGCTCCTTGGTAATTGGGCGTAATTGCCACTCTCGTCGACTGTCGCTTATTAACTTAATTGATATATTTGCTTATTTTCTTTATGGCCGGCCTCACATATGGAAAATGGAGCAGTGATGCCACAGATGTGCGAGAAATGTGTTGTGGAATCTTTGAACGGAATTATGGATAGGCTTTTAATTTGTGCACGGCTTTAAAATTGACATTCTAATTTAAATTAAATTTAAAAGGGTAGAAAATTGACATTCTAATTTAAATTAAATTTAAAAGTGTAGAAGATTTCGATATTTGGAATCTTTGAACGGAATTATACTTGTAGATAGGCTTTTAATTTATGCACAGCTTTAGAATTGACATTCTACCTTAAATTAAAATTAATAATGTAGAAGAAGTCGATATGCGAAGCATTTTAGTTTTGATTTAAGTTGCAGATGGCAGGATACTGAGCTTTGTGAAGAGGTTTATTATTTAAAATAATAATAGGTAACCTTTTTTTTATTTAAGTTGCAGATGGAAGGATACTGAGCTTTGTGAAGAGGTTTTTTATTTATAATAATAATAGTTAACTCTCTCTTTCAATTCCTCTTCTCTAAACAAAGCACAGACTTTTCTATGAGGGGCTGCCACTGACGATCCACCGGACTATTTTTCGCTAAAACTTCAACCGTAATCAGTAATTGCGGCAAAAATGTTACAGATGTTTTCAGTAATGGCAGAGGAAACTGCAATGTGATTTAATGGTCGTAAACAAACATTCTTTGTCAGGCCACGCCCATTCCTAATAGCCTTCATATTACGGACGTGCCGAACAGCTCGAATGTCCGGATGTCAGGCATGTGCAGGAGTCAATGTTGTTATTCATTATTTTCCTTTTGTTGTTGTATATTTCCCGTTCCCAGTCATTATCTGTGCTTCCGAATAATTAGATTCAATTACCCACTCGACTCAGTTGCTGTTTTTGTCAGTGGTTTCTGCTTTTGAGAGACAGCAGAAAGCGGCCTTTTCGCATTTGGTTGCGAGTCGGTTCCATTAGCCGTACAACATTTGTGGCACGTCATATACGAGGCTGTGTATCTCTGTCTGTGTTTGCGAGTACAAGTATGTGTGCGGCACGTAGCGGTTCTCTTTCATTTCCGGCCAGCAAGTTCCTTGCCTGTCTGCCAGCCAACCAGCCAGCCAGTCAGACAGCCAGGAGGTCTGGCTGTTTGTCTGTTTGTCTACCAATACTTACTACACACACTAATCTGTCAGTGTGGGGCTCGCAAATATTTGCCGTTTCTTGGAAATCATTTTGGGGGGGACAGAAAAATTGCCCCGATAAGTATCAAGCAGATTAAAGAGTATTAACACCCATCAGAAAGTCAATTGGCTGTTAAATTTTCAAGGATATTCATCAAGCACGGCAGGCTTTTCACTTTCAAAGAGGCGGCTGGGAATGCTGCAAAGACGGCTTTGTCTTTAAACGAGCGCATGGGTGTGGGTGTTTGTTTTTGTTTGTGTTTGCACTGCCTAAGTGTCACTTATTTATCATTTCTCCTCTCCTTGCATTTATCTTTCTGCACGGCGGCAGGAACAACAGCAGCAAATTGAACATGGACTTAGTTTTTAATGGGGCGATTTATTTGAAGGAAATGTGTACCAAGAATTGCGTGAAGTGAGGCAAGATGTGCGGAAAATTTAATGCCTTCTTCTCGTAATTTTAATTTTTGTTTCTTGTTGAAATTAAATTTAAGATTCTTACCGAGTAATAAAACACTTGAATTTCTTGATTGCATTATTAGTTGCATAAAATTACGTATTTATTTAATTCGAGTATTGAATTTTAATCTCCTTTCTGTTCTGTTCTAGCATCACACATCGAATGAGTTGCTTATCATTGCTTATACCTCTTGACAAAGTAATCTTAAAGATACGAGTACAAAGTTCTAACAAAATTATACTACTACTATTGTGTATTAACATCTGAGTGCAACAACTTACAAATTAATATCACTATAAATGCGCAAAGAGTAAACACGATTGGTACTTCAAATTCGTCCTACCATTCGTATTATAGCATATAGACGTTGTGAACGGGACTATCGGGGACGGTCGCGAGTGAAATTGTGAAAAAGTAATTAACATTCAGATTAAAACTAGAACTCTGTGTGAAAACTGTTGGCCGTATCTATCATTTTTGATTGCAAAAATATCTCTGCATTGTCAGTCATCTGTAAAGAAATTGAGGAAACATAGTAAAAATTTTTAAGTGTTATTTGTTTTCGAAATGTTAAATAATTATTATTATATTGTTATTATTATTGGGTGAATTCTAGTTCTAGTTGGTGAATTCTAGTTCTAAGGGCTTAAAGAAATCAGAAACCCTATTGAAATAAATAACTATATCAACTATCCTCAATTAATTTCTAAAAAAAGAAACCTTTTTATGTTTAAAATTGTTCCAAAAAGGAATAACGCCTACAACCTCAACCCTTTTTCTACGAGTTTTTCATTAATTCCCTACGCGGCCTTACCTCTTTGAGCGTCAGCAACTCGTCCTTGTTCTCATCACACAGACTAAATAGAGTGGCCGCCTCCTGGAGCGCATAGCGCGGCGTCTTCGGATTCACATAGTTTAGCAATTCTCCCCGATCCGCTTTCCCATCGTGATTACTATCGATGATGCGCTTAAATTCCTCACGACGCTCCACCAACGTCTTCGAGATGAGCGATTTACGCATCAAATCGTCATCGTCGTCCACATTTAGATCCGAGAACTCCTCCAGAGTTAACTGATCATCCCCATCCTGATCAAATTGTCGCAATAGATCGTCGACCAACTCCAGTAAATTAGATACACTCGATTCAGGATGTCGAAATGATAGATACTCATCGATTGTGAGCGTGAATAGATCGGTTCGTGCGGCCTCCGACCACCGCGCCTTATCGCGCATCATATCCTCACGAGCTTTGCGATTCAGGGCCGTGTGTCTTATCTCGTCATGCTCATCGATATCCGCCTCCGTCATGCCGTGCTCACGCAAAAAGAAGCGATGATATTCATCCCACGTGATAAGGCCATCGGCGGGCGCAATGTCCACACGTCGAAATTCACGTGCATTATTCATAATGGCATCGTCAATATGCTCCACTATGCGCCGATTTATATACTGACCCAACTCTTGTATGGACAGACGTCCGTCGTGATTACGATCAGCGCTAGAGGGGAAAGATACAGAAAAGATTGAGTTAGCAGTGAAGAGTTTTGAAATTCTCATAAAGAGAATGGGATATGAATTTTTAAGATAAGGTTTTGTAATTTTCTGAAAACCTCTTTATATACTTTTATTTTTAAGCGAAATATTTCCATTAGATAGCATTCCACATACGATTTTGCAATGGAATTATGTGTTACACTGGCAATATATTAATTTCTCTTGATATCCCTTATAATACCAAATTCAAAGCACATATTAGGTTAATAAATCTTCATTAATCAAATGCAATCAAAAAGGCAGAGACTTAACACTTCAATAATTTTTACAATTCTCCACAGTCCTTCGTTTAAAAAGACGACAAATTTTGAGCTTAATCGGAATGGAATGCCAGTCTTAACGAAATTAAATATCAACCTACCAACCATTGCGGCTGAATGGCTTATTATCAGATTCAAAAAACCATTTGATTTGCTGTGCTGAGGCAGCTGAGCTCTTTAAAGCTTTTAAATGGTTCATATTAATCGCATTCTACATTCCATTTCTACATTTCACATTGCACAGGAATTGCTTTGAAGCAGGAACCACTGACTAAATTAGAAATCTTTATGCTGCGTAAATTGTAAGCGATGTTGGTTGTGGCGGCACTTGGTGGTCGCATTAAGCTGCAATTAAGCTGACCAAAAATGTTGTGATAATTGCGCGCCTGAAATTAATAGCCGTCATTTCGCTGTCCACGCAGACAGGCAGGCACTCGTCGTCAGTTAGCAGTTGGCAGTGCATGTAAATTTCATTTTAATAATGCGGTAGCCCAGCCACTGACACTGCCAGCCAGGGTCAGTCGACGGACAGCAACATTCTCTCCCCCATGCACAGGCATACACACAAAAGTACACACATACTATGTACGTACTGATAACGCCTGCCGTTCTGAGCGCAATTAAATTTTATCTTCAACTGTCATGGCAACCGTTGCCGGGCATCGTTATAAATTTTAAATGTGCGCTCGCCTGTCGACGACATGTCGCCCACATAGCTACTAAAGCCGCATTTACAAGCCCATGGCCCCCTGCCTCCATTTCTCATTTCCCCCCAGTCCCCCCCCCCCCCCCATGCCACACCCCCATGTCCAACGGCTAACGCAATTAAACATTAGATGCGCACATGCTTGACTGCCCTGTATGCCATTTTTGTGTACGAGTACGTACTGATTTAACACAATGACAAAAATATCCTGCATTTTATGCCTGCCCTTAAAGGTATGCTATGATTTTTTGCCCAGCTACAAGTCGACTTTAAAGTGCAGTAGAACGTGTGTAACCACAGTTTCTGGCAACGCAAATGAATACAAGTTCAAAGAGAGACTATTTACAACTTGAAATTATTAAATGGCCCAGTAGATGTTTGGCATATATTATGGAAAGAGCACGACAAACAATAGCTGAGCCACATTTACGGAGCTTCTAGGTATTCAGCTATTGAACAAAGATATGGAATTTAAACAAAAATCCACAAATGTAAAAACATAATAACCCTTTCATCATAGCAGTTCCTTTATGCGTTTATCAAATTATTGATTTCAAATACTTTCCAATCATATTTCTTGGTAAAATCAAAACCATTTTTTTTAAATTTGAATTTTCTTTTCTTCTTCTTTAAAGCTTTATAGTTCTTTTAAAACTCGCTTCATTTTTCCAATATTCCAAACTGTATTAAAATGTTTTTCTTACACAAATTGGAAAAATGGTGCAAAAGTGCCGATAATCGAGAATAGTATATCAAATCCAACTCCAACTAGACTTTTAAAATAATTTTCTCAATTTTTCTGCATGCCTTTCAATAACAAATTTAAGAGCGAATTAAAATGTAGTCAAATAGTTCGCTCATTTTGCTTTTTCGTTAAGGGATGAGCACTGTTTAAGCTTGGTATTGGCCAACTTGAAACTGTTCATGCAATGGCTGAGAATATCTAGAAATTGTGGAGAACATATAGTGTAGGAAATCAGCCTTTTTTCTGTTGCAAAACAAATCTGAAGAACATGCCAACATTTCTGAATGCATATTTGTGCCCACAACTTTGACACTTTGGCTCAGTTTTCAACCTTTGCACCCGCCCTCTGTTTCATAAGCGCAACAAAATCCCTAACACAGAATCTCAGCATTAAGGAAAAACCTACAAGCAATTGGAAACCGCAAGCTTATGCAAAATGCACTTTCGCTTTGTAACTAATCCCCCGTTACAAGCGCACGTACTTCGTCGCAGACTCTGCGACTGTACTTCCGTTTTAACAAATGCAAAAATGTGCAAAACGTACTCAACAAATAAAAACTTTTAGCCTAAGTGCACGTGGAGAGATGCTCATGGCCGACGAGGAAGCGAACAGAACATTCAGACTGAATGCAAACTTTTACGTTTTCGTTTTTTATTTATTTTATTTTTTTTTTTTTATTTACCAACTCTCCACCCAACGCATTTTCCCCAAAACGCATGCCAGTCGGAATTTCCAACACCAACACAAACAGAATTCAGAGCACAGAGCATATATATTTCAAAAAGGCGACTGGGGAGTAGAGCAGGCCAGAACGCACGTGATGGCGGCAGATTAAAAACCCAAACCAAAAAAAAACAAAACTTGTCGGAAGGAAACCAACTTAAAATCGCTTTAGTTGCAAGTTTATTTATTTAACTTCTAATGCTTCAACTATATGCTAATGAAACCACTGTGCGGTGAAAGTCGCAAACACAAACATGACCGTGCATCCCACGGTGTAACCGCAGCGCAAAACAAGGAGCAACTTATGGAAATACCTATATAGTCCTTCGCCCTCAGACCTCTAAATGGCATTAAAATATATTTATTTTCAGTACTTGCAGAAATTAAATTAAATGCCTAATGAGGAAATCATATCGGAAGATGATATAATTTGGTATTGCAATTATTTTTTATTTACATTTAAGCTCTAAATAAATATGTTTTCTTAAGAAATTAATAAAAAACGTCTGACTAAGAAAAATGATAAGAAAACGGTTAAAATTAATTATTAATGAATTAAAATAAATAAAAGTAAACAAATATGAATCGAAAAAAATATATATATGTATAATAAGAAATTAAACTGAATAAAAATAATACAAAATTTAAATAAACTTTTTTGTAAAGCCAAAAAAAGAAACGTTAATAAAATGATGATAAAACAAAAACTAAAATGCTATTAGTTATGGATAAAAACGAGCATTTATTTGTCTTTAAAATGCATATTATGAATATCTGCCATTAATTTAACTTTTCTTCTATAAATAATTTTCGATTTTTTATATTCTATGATCAATTCCGTCAACGTTTATGTGGAAATAGGAACTTAATAAAATGCAGAGCCTACTTTTCTGCTAAACTTTTCTATTTGGCTGCATATGTGAAACTTTGGATATTTACTGTCAATCTAAATAAGTGTTGTAAGTAAAATTCTTTTTGAATTCCATAACTATACAAAAATAGTTTCAATTGATCTGAGAAAAAAAAAACATTTTAAGCCCAGTTGAATATACATATATTTAAATTAATGCCATAAAATAAAACTCTTTTACATATAATGCCCATAATTTGTTCCTACACATCTGTACAGCTGTAGACTAAAGCCAATTAATCTTAGAGCACCTATACTTATTCCACAGAATGTACACACAATGTACACAATGTGTCTGTGCCTTAGCAGCGGAACAAATGCGACCGCGAGCCTCCAACCATGGCTGGGGAGCCGCGATGCCACCGATGCTGATTATTCCGGCAGTCTGTTGGCTGCCTGCTGCCTTTTGTGACTTCTACACGTACTGTGGGTGCGTGTGTGTGTGTGTGCCCACAAGGGCATCAGTTTCGTGGCCAATAGTAGATGCGAAGAATGCCGTCTCCTGCCTACAAGCGCTTTGAATATCCGACACCTGTTCGGGTATTCACACTTCATTAGCGTAGAACCCCGACGGCTATGTTCACGTTCACGTTCGAGAAATCATTAGACAGCTGTCATATGCATGTCTGCACAGAGCCGGCTCGACTGGCGAGAGGGAAATTACCAAATGCCACGCGAGAATTACGAGCCCGGATAAAGGGTGGAAGAGTGAAAGCCGGCTTTTAATTTTGATTAGCCTCTAAATGGTTATGTGGTTCACTTTAATTGCATAATGGACACAAATAACACCGTTGTTTAAATATTCCCTTGATAGTGTTTTCAGACAAATGTGATTTATCATCATGATTATTATGGAAGGAGAGAGAGAGTTAAATAAAAGCCCAGAATGAAAATAATTCAAAAATTCATATCGGCATTCAATTAAATAACAAAAGCCAACAATTTCAATCTAAATGAAGTAATCAAATAATTCGCAGCAATTTTTAAATTCATCACAATCTACAATGCAATAAATAAATTCCCTCAACACCTGCCACCCGGCTCTGCTGCGCCTGTTCTGGTTTAAATGTTATCCTTCATAAAATATGAATGCCGGCTCGACACAGGTTCGTGCAAAGTTTTGTTTGCGTGTGCATAAAACTCAATTGAACTAACATAAATTTTCATTAGCAGAAAGTGAGTCAAGCCGATTGATGTCTGGCCCTTTCCTTCCCCTTCCTTTTCTGCCCTTCTCTGTCCCTTCCTTATAATCCTCTCAAATGGACTAAATGGGCATTGAGGTCGAAACTGTTGCTATCACGCGCATTAAAAATGCAACTCATATTGATAGCATTTAATAGCATCAAATCAAAGCCGGTCTGTCTGCGCAGACTAATGCAGAATGCAGACGGGCAAAGGGAGGTCCTGGACGTCCTGGCAATGCAAGTAAATACTGCTTTATTATTTATTGAATAGAAATGAGCACTGGCACAAGCGTTTCAACTTTTGCGGTTACTTTCTGTCGCCTTCAACTTTGAATCGAAACTTTCAGCTCTCAATGAAACTAACCACCAATGGCAATGGACTGCAGGACGGATAGGTGGGCGGAGTGGCAAAGGACCAGCAGGGTGCAGCATAAATATGAAATTGGCACAGTGCTCTGCTCAGATTTTTGAGCAATCCAATTTCATTTCTCTTGTTGGCTGACAGGAGGAAATTGTAAGCAACATTTTATGCGAATTTCATTAAAGGAAATGAAACGAAATTAAATTCCTTGGCACGACATCATAATATTTGTTGATTTAAGCCTGGCGATGATTGCTTATACAGGGCAGCAGCAGCAGCAAATTGCAATTTTGCTGCCCTAAGCAAGTTGTAATGTTCAAAGTCATAACCTAAACGACCCTTCCTAGAATATATAATTATAGCCTCAGAGTCAAAAGCAATTTGAAATTAATGCAAGTCATTGCCAATTTAAAAGTGCTCGACTCTCCATTTATTTGCTAGAAATAAATTGTTGAATCGAAAAGAATAAATTAAATGCAAACACTTCAAACATGATTATACTGATGAACAGCTTTTATAATACGCAACCCTAAAATCAGGACGGTCAAGTTGATGATGATTGAAGGCCTGTAGGCTTTTTCATGAAAAATAATTTGAATGAAAAATTTTAAAGCATTTGCTATAAAAAAGGTACAGCAAGAAAAATAGACTCCATATTTACTTTGATATTTGTTGATTGACCGCCTAAAGACATTTCAATTAAATATCTCCAAGGCAATACATATCGCTATTTTCAATTGAAGTGAAAGAGATAGGACCAAGCTAGACCATTGTTACTGATTTAAAAGCTTATTAATATTTTGTAAATTAAAGACAATGCGGCAATCTTATTCGTGAATGTAAATTAATTAAAATTGAGACAAGATGTTTTTAGAAAAAATATACAAAACTTTGAAAAGCATACTTTTTCTGCTTTAGAATTTCTTCTAAATTGGTTTGGAAAAACAACTAAAAAGTGATATAGATTTCTACATGGAATAACTAATAGATCAATGTTTAATATTTTATTTTCTTAAACAATATTTAAAAGTATAGTATTTTATAACATTTATCTGCCTGCATTTTTACTTTTTAACATTTAATAGATCTTCTAATCTTTCATTAGAATCTTAGCAATGCCGAATATATACTTAAGAACCTGCAACATCAATCGTCAATACTCATTATTCAAGTTTAAATTTCATTTCTTTATGCTGCTCATAGAGCTTAGATTCAGCAATTTCAAAATTTAATTCATTGCTAATATTAAATCGATTTTACAAGTACTCGTATATAGCATCACAAAACACTGATTTGTCTTAAATAATTCACAGAAAGCACTTTAATGCAATTTACACAATTTATTTGTAAATTTGTTCCAATACATCCGTGCGAACAACAAATTGAATAAGACATCTGGTTAGTCAGTGGCCTAAGGGCAATATTTTGTAGCTTCCAAATGTCGGCCAATTCCTTAGATATCATTGATTTGCTTCAATTACGGCGAGGCCCACCCTTATCTCTCCACTATCCTTGCCATCTAGGACCACAATTTGTTATTAGATTTGCCAAAAGTCTAACAATGAAGAAGAAGTAGCCCCAAGAACAAGGCACAGACTCCCACTTGGATGGCTGCCCATTTCTTTCCGCTGACTAATTTAACAATTTGTCCTACACACAATTATGGGTCGCACTGTTTTGGCCACCTTTGTGGGCGTCTCTGTAAGTGTATGTGTATGTGTGTGTATATGTGTGTGTGCGTCTGCGTGTGAACAAGTCCGCAAGCGACGTCGTTATGCGTAACAATGATGGCGCCACAAAACTAGCGCCAAATTATCAACTACAAGCCAATGAGCACACACACAGGGACAGGCAGAGCCCGGTGGGCTCAATACACTTAAAAAAAATGCATACTGGTAAGATTGCGTTGATGGTTAGAATAATATAGAGTTCTAAAGTCCTCAAAGCTGCTATAAACTTCTGTGTAAGCGTTCTTATCGAATGTTCTTTGTCATTATTTTCAGGATTCATATAATCTTAATTAAAGAGTTTAAAGATTTTTTAAGCAGCAAACACTGATTTGAATTAATACTACTCTCGGAAATATAAAGAAATATTATAATTACTTTTTGTATACTCATGCATTTAAAATCAAAATCTTTGCTAATAATCTCAGATATATACTATACATTGTCTGAAAATGTTAATTTGAAAATATTTCAATATACAAGTATGTCTGTAATTTTGATCTTTTAAATACTGACAAAAAAGAAGCGCAGCATTTACTCAATAAATATTTCGTATTTATATATAAGCAATATTTTAAATAGTTCAATATGATATAAATTTGATATGTTTTCACACCAATTAGATCATTTTCAACGTTCCTATTTTAGCTTTGTTCTATTCCATCTTATTCATCTTAGATGTTCCTATGTTTAGGAATGCAATTTTTCTCTAGGTGGAGCCTTGCGCCTTTTGCTCTTTTCATAGCACCGCCCTCCCTCTCACCCCCTCACTCCTGCCTACAAACTAGCCATAACTTACCGTTTGAATGCCTTGCCGAGTATTTGCTTCTCATTCACATTGCTGGCCGCTAAAATAACTGTTTCCGGTTCGGGAGATTTGCCGCCGCCCGCTGCCTCCGCTGCCGCTGTCCCGCTCTTCTTGGCTTGCACTTTTGCTCGCCAGCTCTCCTGAAGCGCAGCGTTCACTTTGACGTTGGCGTTGACGTTGGCGTTGGTATTAGCGTTTGTGTTGGCAATGAGGGCGGCGGCAGGGGCATTGCCATTGCCCAAATTGTGAGTCGTTAGCAACAATGCGGCGCTGTTCGTTTGCTGGTGTTGTTGTTGTTGGTGTTGCTGCTCCAATTCCTCTGGCGAGTGCTGCTGGGCGCGACTATTATGGCCCTGCGACTTGAGTTGGAGCTGTTGTGTGTGCTGCAGCTTGTAGCTGGTGCTATGCAATATCAGGCCAATGAAAAACATATAAAACAAAATGGCGCACAATGTCGACCAACGTAGCCAGCGGAAGCTTTTGCTCAGCTTGTTAACGAAAGTCATTTTCTCCGTGTATATATATATATATATACTATATATGTGTGTGTGTTTGTGAGTGTGTAGGTGGTGGTAGCGTCCACTATTATAGCTGCTGTTGTTGTTGTTGTTGCCAGTGCTGCTGGGTGCGTGTAATTTGCAGTAATTTTTGCTGCTGCTTCTGCCCGCTCCCTTCACTTATCCGTTTCTCTCGTCTCGGGCAGCTGCCCCAACGTTGTCCTCGCTCTCAATCTCGGCCTTGTTGGCGTGCTCGCTTGTAGCTTCACAAGTGGCCGTTGTAATTGCACATTAATTGACTTTTATGTTTCGCAACTGGAGCAATCGCTGCCTCTTCCTTTATGCAACGCCTACTGCCACGCCCTCAGCCGCAGCCACAGCCACAGCGACAGCCGACCGTCCAAAATGCCCTCCGGTTCGCTTCAGCTTGTTCCGCTTCTCGTTATTTCTGCCTCTTCTTGCTGCTATTACTGCTGCTAATACTAATTTTATGTGTTATTGCTTTCCGCACGTTCATTTCCTTTCCTTTCAAGATATTTTACATGATTGTTACAGGCCTTCCCATTATGCATAGATATATGTATGTTGCATAGAATATGTAAGTATATGCTCGTCTTCCACACACTGGGAGTACGTAGGTAGTTCCATTAGACTTTTGCTGAAAAATAAAAATATATTTGTACATTAAATAGGAAAGTACATACATTTAATTAATCTGTAATTGTTTTAGGTGAGTATTAAAAGAGTTTAATTAAAAATATGTTTAAGTGCTATATAAATAAATTATAACAATTTTTCATAAATAATTTATCTGACTAATAAAAACAATTACTGATATATCAAAATATAAAAATATTTGCTCCCTTACTATAAAAAAAAAATATTTAAATAAATATTTGAGCTCCAATCAATTTCTAAATAAATATCAAATAATAAAATAAAATAAAATAAATAGGAAAGCTTAGAGAAATTAATTCAAAATACTTTATTTTGCAACTTCATTATAAAGCCCAAAATAATCTTTTTGCAATATTTATGAAATTGCCAAATAAATGCTTAATGTTTATATTTTAAGCTTGACAAATAAGTTTTAATTCTAACCGAGTTGAAGCTTAATTTTTGAATGAACAACAAATTGTATGTAGTTTGTGATTTAATAAATCTAAAATAAATACTATATAACTAACTATATATTATATCAACTGTATATACATATGTATTTATTTTAACATCTTTAGTTTTTTTATTTTAACTATTAATAATATTTGAATAAGTTGATTCTTAAAAATAAAATGTATATTAATTAAATTTAATGTGTTTTGTTTATTGTTTTTTGTTTTAAATTTGTCGCCTGTCTCTTAATTCTTTTTTAGTTTTTAATTTGTTTACTCTTTTTCTATCACGTTAATAATTTTTGTAAAGTCCCTTCAAGAATGCTGTCTCTTATGTTTTTAAATTTCCTGAAAGATATGTAAATACATATCCTTTTAAGCGATGCTGTGGAAATAGCTGTTCATACCACATACTTGAGACCTAGGGGCGTATGAGTAATATTTCAAAAGCATTAAGCTGATATGTATGTATATTATTTATGTGTGCTTCATTTAAATGACTCTTATTAATTTATTTTCCAACAAATTCTGCCAGCTTCTGTTCCCTCCCAAACTTGTTAACGCGAAATCACATTTATTGTAATGAGCCAAGGACTGAAGTGTGTTTTAGTCTTTAAGTAACAAACCGGAAAGCAACACTTGCGGAGAACCTCATAAAACCAGGCCCAAGTAACGACTGTCATAATAGGCAGTACTAAAAACGGAGTCGTAAAACAGTTGAAATTATTTTTAAAGGCTATGCCATAAAAAGCTCAATTGGGCGCAGCCATTAATGTGTGTGTGTGTGCGTGTGTGTGCTGCTCTAAGGTGTTGATTTTGTTCCCTTAACTTTTTCCGGGAAACTCAATGAACCTCCCAGTTCCTGCCAAATTAATGTTACAAAGCATGCTGTCTGAGCCACAAAGCTGTAATTACAACTTGGCTTGCTCTCTCATTTGTCACACATACGCGTCGTATTTGCTTTTGCCATTTCCTCATCTACACTCACACACACAAACACACACAGACCCACAGAGGCACTAACATATTCATTGCCATTCTATTTCGTAAAAATGGTACACATATGCTCAGAGCCCGGTTTCATTAAAAAGTAAACCGCTCCAGACAACAAGCAAAGGCAACTTACTGACTTACTGACTCAATTTGTATTTTTGAATATTTTGTAGCTTTTGTCTTTATTGTTGTTGTTGCTGTTGTTGTTGTTGTGCTTTTTAACGCTCTTGTTGCGCGCCGTTACTTTTGTTTTCGTTTCACTTTGTTTGGCCTTGTTGTTGCTGTTGCTGTTGCTAAAATGCTGGTAGCCGGCTTTTATTGTTGTTTGGCTGAGAAAACCAGTTAAACATCTTTTCAGTCATCTCTGGCCCAACAGCAACAACAAGTTACTAACACACACACACACACGCGCACGCACACATACACACACTAACAAAGAGAAGCACGCGGGCGCAGCTGTTCATTGTTACTGTTACATTTCTTGTTGTACACTCGAACAAAAGTGCCTAAATATACTTAGAAATCTCCATCCTTTTGAGAGTTTCTTTCTAAAAATTTGGTGTTCTATTCTGTAGAAATTATGTGGTATTTTGATTTTATATAATACTGACTACATAATATAATTATGCAGCTGCCATAGCAATGATTGACACAAGAAAGGAGAGAAAGAGGCTGGTTCCTACATTCTACTCCACTCTATGTATGTATTTATTTTTCCGAGTGCACTGCTGTTGCTATTGCGTATATTTTTTCTTGCTGTCGACTTCTTTGTTTTATGTTTTTCTCGTGCTGCGCATTGCCAACTTTATTTTGCCTTTTTTGCTGTTTGGTTATTAACGTGTCGACATCCGCACTCTGTCTTTGTTTAACTGTCGTAACTCCACTGAAACAGATGGCGTAAAATACAAAAGAAAGATATATATAGAGAGAGAGAGAGGCAGAGAGCGACAAATTGTGAAAAAGTTAGTTAGTATATAATAAATAAAAATTTTTAATGAAATTTCTTTGCACTTCTTAATGCATTTTACTTCATATCGTCAAATCAAATCCAATTAGTAACTTTTATAGTTACTTGCCCCAGATCGTGCCAGTTGCTGGAATCTCTGCACCTTCCCTTTCTATCCCCCCGCTTCCTCCGAGACAAAAGTAGGTGCTCATTAAAAGTGCTCTGCACACAAAGTGCTACAATGATTCGCACGTTTCGCAGGACAGACTCCCCCTCCACCCAGGACCCCCTCATGATAGCGTCAATTTCAATAAAAATTGACGATGAATTTCTTGCTTGAACTTTTCGTTGTTGTTGTTGATTTTTTTTTTGTGAACGGCACCAGAAACTGTGTGCTTGGCAAATTGTGATAAAGTTTAGCGTATAACTACTGACAGCAATCGGTAATAGGGACAGGACAGCAGGAGCTGAACTATGTCCTGTAGAAAAGTCCCTGTTGGCACAAGTTTAGAGATTTGATTTGAAAATCCTCTTTTGCGAATGCCAGTTACGAGTAATAACGCAGAGATAAAAAGTTGAGCTCTTCCAATCATTCGCCATAACTGTAATGAATTGTTTACTCTGAGATCGATGGACTGCAATGAACCAAATATTTAGAATGAACTTTATCAGCATTTTAACTATTATCGGGCTATGCTTCTGTCACATAAATACTTATGTATAAGTACAAATTTGCAGGGTTTATGATTAACAATACTAATAAAATAGTCATCTCTAAATAATATCGACACATTTTTCGGAATATTTCTTTTATGTGGTAGCAGAATTATAATAACAAACACAATGGTGCTTATTGAAACTATTTTATTAAAATACGAATTCTCGGTTTGAATAAAAATTTTCAATATACTTAAGCAAGCATAGTTTTCTTATTGATATTATATATGTTTAATGCTAAAAGCTCTGTATTTTTTTTTCATCAATTTTATTTTAATTTAATACTTAATTGCATTTATTAATTCTTTTAAATAAACTACTATAGAATATACTATGACTAAGCTATTAGTTTGTTTGTTTGTTCGTATTCGTTTACTAACTAATCATTTTTGAAATTAGAAATAACTTAAAAATTGTAGTAATTGAATTGATAGTTCTCGAGTCGATGTTACAAGGAATAAATCAATTTTTGGATCGTATTAGACCACCGCTCTTTAATTAAGTTATTTAGGTCATTTCCATAAAAAATAGATTAATTTTTCTTCAGATTGTCCACAGATTCTAAATCACGTTCATGCCTGGTACCCACTTCATTCTTTTTTTTCATTTTTGCAATTTAGCAAGATTTTGTTACATTTAATTTTCATCAGTTTTTATAAACTCTTAACTGAACAGTTTTTTCAAGAGATATATCAATTGTTTTCTTAAATATCATAAAATGCTTCTGTACATTTTATAGATCTGAAATAAAACCTTTGCAAGAAACAGTTCTCGAAATGTATTAAAAGGTATTCAAATCTTTAAAAGGGTATCACCCGCGTTGAATTTAAATAACTACAAATAAATCATACACGAAAAGATTCTACCCAAACCATTTGTCATAACTAGCAATATTTAAAATTCCCTTTAAGCAAATTGTCATCACCACATTCCTCTTCCTATTCAACCTGCATTTTCGTATCATCGTCTTAAATAATTTCTTTATTTGGCATTTATGTATGAAAGGAAATCAAACTTTTAATTTTAATTTTTAAAAGAAATGTTGCTAACCCTATTTCTTTTAAATATCTGCCACATTTTCAATTAAGGCCATGTCACCAATAGTATTTAAATTATCGATTGGAAAATATTCAATTTACTCATTTCATTTCTCTTATACGTTTCTGTACCGAGAATTTCTTTTCCCAGTTGCCTCAATTAAGTTTAATCGAATTTGAAATGGGTCCGCCTTTGAAATTCCAGCTGACATCTCAATTAAAATTTCAACGTTTGGAGCGCCCCATGCTTAATGAGGATGCTGGGTGCCTCGTATCTCTCGGATAGATTTAATTGTAACTTTTTAATGAACTTAAGCTGTCATTGCTTTGAGCGGCAAAGCAACCGAAAATGTAACTAACCAACCAGTAATCAATTAAAAAACTTCTTAAACGTTGCCTTTTTTTCTTCCTCTTTCGGTTAAATTATATTGGCAGCCAAAGTGGCCCACTTTGCAACTTTGAGGGCTTTTGCTAATGGAGAACAAACCGAAAGGGCTTCAGCAGCAATTAAATATGTACATAATCCGATGATAATTCCACTCGTACTTGTACCGTTTATTTACTTGGCATGCAAAACGCCGCACCGCACAATTCACAATTTGCGATAAAATAATTGAATTTAGCTCAAAGTCAATTTTCGTTTTTGTAATTATAATTGTAATTGTGTCCTGAGCCGCCCACAGCGTTAACAAATGGGGCTTAAAGGCTTGCTTCGGCTTAGATATGGCAACTCAATTTATTGAAAAACAATGTCCGTTTAAAGATTTTCATGGGGACTTAAAGCCTTTTAAAATCATCATAAATGCTGCATTTTATATAAAAGCTTTTTGCCATCAAAGATCTTGAAATGGTT